CAAAACCTCTCTTTGTGATTCTTCTCCAAGGAAGGTCCAATTGCTTCTTTCAACCTAAAGCCTCCAAACCAAACCAGCTATCCAAATGGACCAAAGGACTTTTGCTTGCCCTTTAAAGTACATTCCCAGGAGCAGTTGAAGAAAGGCCTCAAAGGGACATGGTATTTTAAAAGAAACAAATCCTCGTGTAGGGAAGCCCAAGATGAGAAGACAATTCAAAACTGACTCTTTTTTTTTTTTTTCTTACCAAGCTCTAACAGCCACTCTCTACTTCAACATTCATCCATGGTAGCGTATGGTTTTTAGAGGACATCTTAGACTCGTGAGCCAAGATCCACTCAAAAGAGTATGGACTGTGGTTGTTCACGTTGACCCTAAGCCACCAAGTGTTGGACTCTATATACGATCGCCACCCCAACAGATAACCTTTCCTTTGTACCCACGTTTCCCAGACACAGAAAAGTTAGGGTCCATCACATTCTCTAGGAAATTTTTAAAAAGTAGAGATTTGCAAATTAAATGGCCTAAATTGTCACATAACCAGACTCTATAATTGAAGAAATTATTCGTTCAGTGAGCAATCTTCCACCTCATTAATAACAAAGCAACCCACGTGGCCACCTACTTCCACAAACATTTCAAATTGGTATGGCCAAGAGAGTTTATTCAAAGATTTCTCCTCTTTATTTTAACATCAAGTCCACTAACAACCATAAATATTCCACTTACAGGCTGGGATTAGAGCCTAACTAAACAACTACCAACAAGAGAGATTTTACCACTACATATAATGAGTCAAATAACTAGCCGGTTTACTCCATACAGCAAACAAGTTATCCTATATATATAACTTTCAATGATAAACCATACGCCAAGTCTAAAATCACCAAATAGACTATACCAGAAAAATAAAATTTCAACCCAACTGTCCATCAACCTATAACGCATGGTTTAAAGAGGCCATGCCTATGCCAACAAACATTATCAAAGGCAAATCATCATCACAATGAAACAGAACAAATTGCCTAAAGTTACAGGGTTATGGAACTTTCCCTATGATGCAACCATTTATTTCATGAAAAATCAAGTATATACCCAAATTTAATGCATTCCACGAGGACTCACAGGAAGGAATTAAAAATTTTTAAGAGTAAAAATAAGAGAATAGAAGCAAACGACAAATAGGACCAATGCCAAATCATATTAGCAAGACTCAATTTTCTTTTACGCCAGCCTTGAGGAAAAATAGGAGGAAACAGCTTCAAAGGAAAGGGCACAGAACCAAAAGCTTATGCTTTACGTATTTACCTCCTTCTCGATCACAACAACAAAAAGTGGAAACAAGCAATGCAATGTATTCGCTATCATCATCCACCACAAACACTCCCCGATGCAGGGACAAGAAGCGTTAATTATAAGCAACATAAAGAAATAGCGCAAGTCAAATAGAAAAGGCATAGAGTCCAATTCCGTCAAACAAGCAAACTAAGAAGCGTACCTGGTGATGACGCGAAGACTGACAAGGACCATACACTAACGACCTAGATTCTAGGACAGTCTACAGGAACAACTCCGCTCTGATACCAACTGTAACGCCCCAGAACATTTTACACTATTCTAGGTAACGTTATCCATTTTCCCCTGTCAAATATTATTTTCTAAATTCGAAATAGACAACTCCCTGTGAACAAGTTATAGAAACATAGTTCCAACTCAATTCGATACATCAAACTATAACAAAAAAAAAATAAAACATCAATTCTATAAACTATCATCCAAGCGTCCTCCGGGACAACACCACCAGGCAACATCCATTATTCCAACTAAACGTTTTCAATGAATGGAAGAAAATAAAAGAAACACTTATTCCGATTCAAGTTTAAACAATAGGTGGGATCTCCCCTCAATTCACTTGAAACAAAAGTTTATTACCAAACAATCATGCAAAAACCACCTAAACCTAAACTAAGCAA